GATCCTGCATATATTACATTACATTATATATTTATTTTATGGACTTCACTTATTAATTTGCACTTTTGTCAGGTCAACCTTATTGCACAATCATATTTTCATTATTATTGTTTATTATACAGTAGGTACACTGTATTGGTGTTGAAAGTGTTCAGTGTTACCTATGACTCTGTCTCCTCCTATCCACTTCCTCTCTCTGTAGGGGTCCCCCATAGCTCTGTTCTTGGACCCCTTCTCTTCTCTATCTACACCTCCTCTCTTGGTCACCTAATAACCTCCTATGGCTTCAAATACCACCTCTATGCTGATGACACCCATATCTATCTCTCTACTCTTCACCTCACCCCTTCAGTCTCCTCTTGCATTACTAACGTATTAACTGACATATCAGCATGGATGTTGCACCACTTCATAAAACTAAATCTCTCTAAAACCGAGCTGATAAAATTCCCTCCCCCTCGTGCACTTCTACAGGACTTTTCCATCAAGATTAATAATACGACTATCAGTCCTTCTCCTCAAGCCAGGGTACTAGGAGTAATCCTAGACTCTGATTTATCCTTTTGTCCCAATTATATTTTCATTATTATTGTTTATTATACAGTAGGTACACTGTATTGGTGTTGAAAGTGTTCAATGTTTAGGGTGGTATTAGCATTTATTTGGTATATATAGTATAGTCATATTTACACTGGTCCAAGCTGGACCAATAAAACTAAAATGTATGTAAAGATCTCCATACATAAACTTCAGCTTTAAATGTATTTTTATGCAAGCATTTCCCTGTACAGCAGATCTCAGTGGGGGGGAGGGGATAGAATAAGCACATGAAGCCAATGTGGTGCATTGCTGAGCAAGGAGAGCAAATTAACAGAAGATTAATTTATCTGTGTGCTGCTTTCTCTTTCAGTGCCCAGTCACATGACAGTAGGGGTAGGGAGGACCTGTAAGTAAAAGTGAAACTGCAGCAGAAAAAAAAACCAGATACCCTTCCCTGCCACAAAATCAAAGGACTTTGCTTTGTATTTTGGCCAAATTATGTAATATAACCACCTGTGCCAAGCTTCCTCATGTCTGGTAAGTCCTAACATTTTATTGGATACAAAAATGGGGGCTTTTTTTTTTGGTTACCTATACTGAGTATCAGTATGGTAAATGTACAGAAAACACAGAATTTTACTGTGGTTTATGATGTTCAAACATAGCATCCAAAGCTGGTCATACACTGTACAAATTTTGGCTGGTTACTGAAGAAGTCGGCAAAATTCACTTAGTGGTCGGCCCTATCAGCTCTCCTCCGCCTGACATCCTTTGAACGAGAAATGGAAGTAGCAGGGTAGTAAATTTTTGGCCAAACAGCAGCTTCATCCACTCAGCAGGGTCATATAATGGCAGCAGTAGGAGAATTGTCCATCTGCATGGTATAGCATGGATGGAGAAACCTTTTTTTTGCCTTTGCAGCCTGTAGGCCTAAAAAAAATATTCTACACGTGTATGATCAACTAACGTCACCTAAAGTATTTATTAAATATTATGTAGGTGTAGCACGGGGATACATTTTTGAAAATATTAATGTTTCAATATTTTTTATGCCATAGATGTGTATGGAAATAGAAGTCAAATTTTGTTCTGATGGATGTACTATAAGAACAAAGGGTGAGGCTGTGCGGTGACTGGAAGTGATGCGGGAGCACCATTTTGTGGGATCCGGCGGTGGTGTATCCTGCTATATGGAATTTAACAAGCGTTTTTATTAGCTCACTTTGTGAGTGGCTTTCTACTTATTTAATAAACAATTTGTTATTGGTTACTGTACCATTGGAGTTTATCTCTTATTGTACATGACCATTATATCTGGTGGAGAGGAGTAAGGAGATTTATGGAGATTCTGAAGTTTACATGCTGACACCATACTTGGAGATTTCACAAGCAATACATGCTGACCATGAGAATGGAAGGCATGTGGGTCTGGTGAGTGCATACCCAAAAGGGAAGGCGTTTTTATGAGCACGTGGTGATTTTGGTTTGGGAATATCAGAAGATTGTAACACTGAAAGTGACATCTACTTGTTATGATGGACTTTATTTTCACATCAATTGTTTGATTTTTATCACATGATTGTTTGAGTTTCACTATATATTTTTTTTATTTTTTAATTTTATCATTGCAAAGCACCACTGGAATAATTGTATATGTATATTTTGTTTATTTAGAACACAGTCTACAATCGTCTTAGCTCCTACCTCACTGAAAACAACCTACCTAACCCCTTACAGTCTGGCTTTCGCTCGCAGCACACCACAGAAACTGCCCTACTAAAACTCACTAACTCAATTTACTAACTGCTAAAACCAATGGCCACTACTGCATACTCTTACTATTAGACCTCTCTGGGGCCTATGATACTGTTGACCACCCACTACTCCTCAATAAACTCTATCCTGATTCTCCTCCTACCTATCACAGCGTTCCTTCAGTGTTACCTATGACTCTGTCTCCTCCTATCCACTTCCTCTCTCTGTAGGGGTCCCCCATAGCTCTGTTCTTGGACCCCTTCTCTTCTCTATCTACACCTCCTCTCTTGGTCACCTGATAACCTCCTATGCCTTCAAATACCACCTCTATGCTGATGACACCCATATCTATCTCTCTACTCTTCACCTCACCCCTTCAGTCTCCTCTTGCATTACTAACTTATTAACTGACATATCAGCATGGATGTTGCACCACTTCATTAAACTAAATCTCTCTAAAACCGAGCTGATAAAATTCCCTCCCCCTCGTGCACTTCTACAGGACTTTTCCATCAAGATCAATAATACGACTATCGGTCCTTCTCCTCAAGCCAGGGTACTAGGTGTAATCCTAGACTCTGATTTATCCTTTTTGGCCCCAAATCCAATCGTTGTCAAAAGCTTGTAGACTTCACTTCCATAACATCTCTAAAATTGACCCCTTTGTAACCAATGAAACCACCGATTCATTCACTCCCTTGTTATCCCTCTCCTTGACTATTGCAACTCCCTTCTCATAGGCCTACCACTCTGTAGGCCGTCCCTTCTTCAGTCTAACATGAATGCTGCTGCCAGGATCATCTACCTTACCAGGTATGTCAGTGTCTGCCACCCCTCTCTGCCAATCCCTCTCCCTCCACTGGCTTCTGATTGCCCAGCAAATTAAAAATATTAACAACATACAAAGCCATCCACAACTCTACCCCAAGCTAAATCACCAATCTTGTCTCCAAATATCACCCAAACTGTCCTCTCCGCTCCTCTCATGACCTCCAGCTCCCAAGCTCCCTTGTCTTCTCCTCCCATGCTCATCTCCAGGACTTTTCCAGAGCCTCTCCCATCCTCAGGCACTCTACTTCAGTCTGTCTGGCTATCCCCTACTCTGGCTGCCTTTAGGCGATCCTGGAAAACTCATCTCTTCAGGGAAGCCTATCATGCCAACATTTATCACTTCCATCGGCTAATCCCCCAGAGTTATAACCTTTTGTACCACTTGCCCCACCCTATTAGATTGTCAGCTCTTATGAGTAGGGCCCTCCTTATCCTCTTCTTTTGATTGTATTGTAGCTGTACTGTCTCCCTTGATAGTGTAAAGCGCTGCACAAACTGTTGGCACTATGTAAATCCTGCATAATGATAATAATAATCTGTGAGGAAAATATAGTATGGGTGGACCCTGTTCTGGTTTGAGGCTGCTACTTCTCTGATTGTGACAAAGGAAGCACTCGCCAGACAAAAAATTCTTGGATGTGTACAGAGGAGAGCCTGCTACAAAAAAATCATCTCACTTGAAGGATTCATTGACACATTTAATGGTTAAAGTGATTGTAATTCCTTACATATACCCAGTGAAGTGACTGACCTCAGGTGATACACAGAGATTAAACAAATTATCCTACACACGTTGTACCTGTTTATCTGCAGCCATCTGTTCCCTACATCCATTCAAAGTGCAGAATTTACACATGACCTCTCAGCTCTGAAAAGTAGAGGGTGGGGAGCTGAAGTTATACTGAGTGAGGAGAGCTCTGGGAGCTGATGGGAGGAAAGGAGCACACTCCCCTTCACACAGCTCACAGGAATAGAGCTGAGGCTGTCAATCATAAGCTGTGTCCTCCTCTGTCACCATTTTTCTCCTGGTGTCAGGAAAGCTCATCCAAAATGGCTTATGCTGATAGCAGAGGAACAAAACAGCTGAAAGAAATGGCACTTAGTGTTGTAGATTGGGACAAGTTCACACTATAGGGATATGCTTTGTTCATATTTCATGTCTAAGGCTTACAACCACTTTAAGAGAGTCAAATGTAGATAATGCCTTTTGGTGGAATAAAGCCTTCTTCATCTTCAGGGATAATGTGCAAAAAAAACAACAAAAAAAACCCCAAAACAACAAAAAGTAAAACATGAAAAGAATTAAAAAAAAAGTGTATTATATTTTGCAGTATATTTTACTTTTTTGGGGGGCATTTTACCCCCCAAAACACAATGGGATAGGTTTCCTGGATTGTGCAGTGGTGCATGGTAGCCAATCAGCTTCCAACTTTAGCTTGTTAAATTAAGCTTTGACAATAAAACCTGAAAGCTGATTGGTTTCTATGCACAGCTGCACCCGATTTTGCACTCTCCAGTTTTACTAAATCTCCCCCGATGTTTCAAAAAGTCCTTTACCACTTGCCTACCGGGCACTTATACCCCCTTATTTACCAGGCCAATTTTCAGCTTTCAGTGCTGTCGCACTTTGATTGACAATTGCGTGGTCATGCAAGATTGTACCCATATGAAATTTTTATCATTTTTTTTCTCACAAATAGAGCTTTCTTTTGGTGGTATTTAATTGCTGCTGGGCACTTTACTTTTTGTGCTATAAGCAAAAAAAAAGTGCAAAAAAATTTGAAAAAAAAAAAAGTTTCTTTCTATTATAAAATTTTTCAAACAGATAATTTTTCTCCTTCACTGATGTGCGTTGATGAGGCAGTACTGATGGGCACTGATAGGCGGCACTGATAGGCGGCACTAATGAGGTGGCACGGATAGGCGGCACTGATAGGCAGCACTAATGAGGTGTCACGGATAAGTGGCACTGATATGCGGCACTGATTGGTGGCACTGATAGGCGACACTGATAATGGGTACTGATAGACAGCACTGATAGGTGGCACTGACTGACATCACTGCTGGGCACTGACTGGCACAACCTCTGGGCACTGACTGGGAGCACTGCTGGGCTGCACTGATGGGCACTGGTGGGTGGCACTGGTGGGCACAGGTGGGTGGCACTACTGGGCACAGGTAGGTGGCACTTCTGGGCACAGGTGGTGATACTGCTGGGTGCAACAGGTGGGCGCACTGCTGGGCACAGGTGGGCGCACTGCTGGGCACAGGTGGGTGCATTGCTGGGCACAGGTGGGCGCACTGCTGGGCACAGGTGGACGGAACTTGTGGGTGGCACTACTGGGCACCGATCATCAGGGCACTGATGATCAGTGACCCTGATGATCGATAGAGATCCCCGCTTTGACAACTGCCGGTTTTCGGCAGTACTTTCCTCACGATCTGACAGCGTGAGGAAAGTGCAGCCGAGAACCGGCATTTGCATTTCCCGGTGATCAGCGTGTCATTGGACACGGCTGATCATGTGGTAAAAGGCCACTGTGATTGGCCTTTTACCACGTCACGTGATCAGCTGTGTCCGTAGGACACAGCGATCACGGAGATCGCCGGGTGCGCGCCCCCGGGGGCACGCAGGAGAGCGCGTTCTGGGAGGACGTCATATGGCGACGTCCACCCAGAACTGGCCGGCCGCAGTGCAGCCGTCATTCGGCTATCTGCGGTCGGCAAGTAGTTAAGTGGAATGAACTTTTGAATCAAATATTTTTTTTTTTATGGAAGTTGTTATAAATACAGTATGTGTTGGTTTGTAATCATCCCATGTTCTAAATGACTGATTGTACTAATAAAATAAAAAAAGCATTGAATTATTTTCAGAAATATATGAAAATCAGCTGATGCTTCCCAGTCCATGTTGTCCATGATTATTTTTTTCTTGCTAGAAAATCATCAAAATATTTAATACTTTTCTTCTTTTTTTTATTAACAAAATCTTCCCAAAAAAAAAAAAATTCCCCATGTATTTCTTTTCATAAATGTTTCAACTCTGTCCCCATAAGGGGTGAGCACAAAGCACAGACTGATTTTCTAAAAAGGAAAATATTCCATAAAACAAATTCTAATTTCTCTTCTCTTGTAGCTGTAACATTAGAAGCCGGGATTTTCTTTTTGAATGATTGACTTTAAATGTCCCCCGGGGCACTTTGCAAAGAAAGATCATTTTACCTGCCAAAGGTTTGTGCTCACTCATCAAAGGTGGGGAGGGGAGAACACATAGGAGCAGCTGGGGCTTGTGCAAGTTCCTAAGTGAATGTCCATTGAATTTAACTATCAAACACTGAAACATAAAGTAGCCAGCTGAGTGTGGATATGACATTATTAATTACCGAGAGCATAAAACAGCCAAACAAAAATTCTTTGCTAAAAGCCTAAAGACAAGTCCATGCAGCCAATCAGATTTTAGGTTTCGTAATTTACGGTTCCACACAAAGAAAGAGAAATAAAGGTCACTGCTAAAAGCTTCTGCTGTTTTATTTTTTACACCTCTGAAAGCAGCTCTAGGTTACATAAGGTGCATATGTATAATGTGCTGTTTACCGGCGTATTGCAGAGCAGCGTTCAGGGGTGTAAAAAAATTAAACAATGCTCCTAGTTTGCAGTCAGAGTTGAATTTATCAATGTAGTTTATGCCCATGCACATATGAAAATACATTTATTCCAAACCCAGAATAAATAATTTTTCTGGCTAGTAGAATGCAATTACGCTCAGCACCATATGTGCATAAATATACGCAAATATGCGACATTAGAGGCATTTTTTATGCCAGGTTTTGGCAGAAAAAAATCCAGCATATTTGAAATCATAGATCTATAATCCGGTGTGCATGAGGTTCACATTTGTGATCTTGGGCAGAATCTCTGTGATCCCAAAAAGTTCTGCAAAAATGACAACTGGCACCATGGGTGTCATTGATTTTCAGTGGCACTAAAATGTGCTGTGGTTTTGCTGCGATTGTCGTGTGATAAATTATGCTGCAATCGCATGAAGCTTGTTGCCCAAAAGACTAAGGTTTAAGGATTAAGGCTGCTCCTTATGAGTGACAAGCTTCACACAATGTGGTTTGGTGCAATTGCAGCACGATTTATCAAGGCAAAACCTCACTGCGTTTTTGTGCCATTGAAAATGAATGGCACCCGAACCCACGTGGTGTGATTTGTCATTTTTGCAGAACACTTTGGGGTTGCGGGCAGAATTGCTTTGATTCTGCCCAAGATCGCAATCATCCAGATGTGAATGGGGCCCTAAATAGGTCTGTTGCTATGCTGAATGCTCTATTAGGCAACAATTGAAATGCCACCATTACAACTAATGTAAAGCCCCAATCAATGTGGTGGATGTGCTGCAAATACGCTGTTCACTTTGCAAGGGACTTTTCCCTTATGTTAGTGAAAATTCTCTTTGCAAAGATTACATGCAAGGAAAAACATAAAGTGGTATTTTTTTCTTGCGTGAAAGTCAGCACCTAAGTGAAACTCCTTGACCAAGGGAACTATAGATGGCTTGTCCCCAGTCCCCTTTGACCATTACCTCCCCCCCTTTTGCAGTAAGTAACCACTCGGACAACAAGCGGGAGTTAATGGCCAAAACAGCCTTTTATTACAACAATCAATAAATAACATTTGAAAATAATGTAAACACAGTATAACTGGAGCTTCAAGGTCCCGGTAGGCATCAAGAAAAGAAACTACCTGCGTCCTAATTAAAATAGGCCTCCAGCCACAACACCACCGACTTGGAGACAACCACCGCAGATACCACCATCAGAACAACTGGGAACCATACCTCAGACTGGTCCCTACAAAGTACCTTTTTTGTGCCCACAGTAGCCTACGGGGACCTTGCACCCCGCTGGCTGCCCGTCAGCACCAACCATCACAACCACAACAAACCAGTAAACAAGGGGTGGGCAGGAGGGAAGTTTTCCTTGGCTAATCATCCTTCCGACTGAAGACCCTCTGCCACACCCCATCAAACCACCCCCTGTGGCTCCACCCACTCCCACCTTAAAACACCACTTAGAACCCCCCATCATGTTTTTCTACCAACTAATAGGACTCTTAGCTCCCAACTCCTTTAACCCTTGACATGCCAGCTCTTTGTTCATGTTTTTCTTCTTTTACTGCGGGCCTCCCTTTCTAAAGTGAAAATCCCCATTCAAAGTGAACAGCCTATTTGCCTTTAGTTAATGAAGTCCAATAATATAACAATCACATGGCAGCTTGGCGGCAACCGAGGCGACTACTGATAAGAATCCATAGATTCTTGCCAGTGGTGGTAAAGCTGCTTGCACACACTGGGGTTGATTTACTAAGGACAAATAGGCTGTTCACTTTGCAAGTTTCATCTTGCAAGGGAATTTTGTTCACAGCTTAGTAAATGTAGTGAAATTTCAATTTGCAAAGAATACCCAATCACGTTCAAAGAAAATTTAAAAAACACTTTTGCTTGCACATGACTTCATGATGGAAATCAGTAGAGCTTCACCTCATTCAATAAACTCTGGGGCTAATTATCTGGCAAAGTGCAACTTCTCCTGCAGAGTGAACAATTGATTTGTCTTTGGTAAATCAACCCCATTGTGTCCAGTTTCAGCTGTTCGATATATACTCTGTACAAACCAATGGTTGGCATCACTGCTGTTTGCATGTAACTACTCATCTGAGCAGTTACATGCGAATAGAACCTCTGACTGACCTTGGACGCCGAAGTGTGCGTCCAGCGTTGGTGTTTCTGACCGCGGCTAATCGCTAGTTGAAATGCAGCCACAGTGCAGAGTGTTGCTGTGTCTAGACGTGCTGTTTAGTCGTCTCTGAACAGAAAACTATCTGCTGCTAAACTGCCGTGTGAATGTGGCCTAACCCTAAGCCCCGACGCTTCTCATCACAGCTGTTCTGCCTCCAGCATCAGTCCCACTGGGTAACCAGTGACAGGAGGAGGCTAAGTAGCCATGAAGCAATGTAAAATTCTTGTCCCTTGTTGTCACTAGAAGGCATGGCTTTCGATAAGGTCAACAGCCCTCTGTGAACAATGAAAAATGATTGCTAATTCATTCCTATGGGGTAATCATACATTGCACATTGCCCTTTGCCTTAATAAACAGGTTCAGTAGAGCAGTATCTTCAGCTCAAGCACACTTATCAGATTTTAGTGTGTAAAGCCTCATGCACACAGAGTGTTGAAAATGCTGCTTTTAGGGCCGTCTGGCATTTTGTTTCTGCCTCTAAATGCCCCTCCATGTTAGCCTATGTCTCCATGCACACATAGGCATTTAGAGGTAGAAAAAAACCCCACTGCCAGCGTGTCCAGGAGCAGTTATGTTTTGGCAGAAAAAAAAATCCTTGATGCATCGAAACTTGCCTAAATGTGCACTAATGCTAAGCATGTGAAGTTTGATGCACTTACCACTTCCAGTCCGGACACTTTTACCCCCTTCCTGTCCAGGCCAATATTCAGCTTTCAGTGCTATCACACTATGAATGACAATTGCTCGGTCATGCAGCACTGTATCCATTTGAATTTTTTAGCATTTTTTTGAGACAGATAAAGCTTTATTTTGGTGGTATTTATTCACCACTGGGATTTTTCTTTTTTTTGCTATGTAAATTAAGAAGTCCAAAAATTTTGAAAAAAAGTTTTTTTTCTTATGAAATTTTGCAAATAAATAGTATTTCATCATAAATCTTGCCCAAAATGTATTCCGTTATATTTTCAGTAAAAAAAAATAACCCAAATTAGTTTATAACCAAAAATTATAATTTTTAAACATTTTTTTTACATTTTTATTTTTTTAATATTATTTTTTATTTTTTTGAACATACTGTCACCTTAGCAGTACATTGTCACCATGGTGACACTGTACTACTTGTGGGGGGTGATGAAGTTTTCTCCTTCTCTCTAGCTGCATTCTTGCAGCCATTGAGAACTACTGAGTGAGCTGTGATTGGTCACAGATTGTCACATGGTACAAGGCTGTTGTGAATAGCCTTGTACCATGTGACCCGTGTGATCATTCACAGATTTCACACGTAGTAAGCAATGATGTCACAAGTGACATCTTGCTTACTACTCTGCATGTGATCACTGATTGGCCAATCAGTGATCACATGATTGGGACCTCGTACAGAGGTCCCGTCCGACGATCAGTGTTGCACTGTGTCTGGAGAACACAGCGGGCATCGGATCGCGGTGCTGCGCGCTCCCAGGGAGCGCGCACAAGCAGGGTGCGGGAAGGCTGTTTATAAATGGCCACCCGACCCTGCACTGCCACCGTCCAGCCGTTTATATACAACGGCCGGACGGGAGGTGGTTAAACATGTCTAGAAGCATTTACATGTGTCCAGCATTTTTTCTGGGCAAGCACCCTATCTGCATGTGGCCCAGAACTGCTTTAACTAAGGATTAGTGGCAGACAACTTGGCTGGCATATGTGAGGTGTGAAAATAGAATTCCTGGAATGCCCACGGTGGCGAGTCACAAAGCCATTCGCATTAGGATGCGTTCTGACACTAACTTGCACTCACCTGGTTCACAGACCCGTTGACTCAGTCTTTGCAGAGTAGTAGAAGAAATAAAACATGTGTGACGTGCTTTTGGCTGAAAATAAGTGACAGGAATCTGGAGCAGCCGATTAACAACAAATTTTGTGTGAAAATTGAAAAAGTGCAATCTCTGTACAACAGGCTTATGGTGAACATTCCATGAAGAAATCAAGTGCTTTTGAATGGCATAGACAGTTTAAGGAGGGCTGGGAAGATGTCTACGATGATGCAAGAACGGTCAACCAACATTGTTACTTGGAAATTTCAAAAAGGTTATGGGAATCTGTTTGGAGGAAAAGACCAGAACTCTGGCCTGACTAGTGGATTCTCCACCATGTCAAATTTTTTTTTTATTTCACTGGTACTTATATTAGTGCTGTCAATTTACTCAGAGCTTTACATATATATTGTACAATTACATCAGTCCCTAACCCTCAAGGGGTGTACAATCTAAAGTCCCTAACTCCCATTCATACATTCTAGGATCATTTTAGACAGGATCTAATTAACCTACCAGCATGTCTTTTGGAGTGTGTGAGGAAACCCACGCAGGCACAGGGAGAACATGCAAACTCCAGGCAGGTGCTGCCGTGGTTGGGATTTGAACCAATGACCCTAGTACTGCCAGGTGGAAGTGCTAACCATTTAGCCACTCCTGCACATTAAATGTTTGTGGGTTCATAGCCCAGAATTCCATTCTGAAACTTTACCAACCACCGTATTCCTCTGACTTAGCACCCTGTGACTTTTGGCTGTTTCCAATATAAAAAAAATTCTTTAAAAGCACACAGATTTGATAAAATTCCAGACATCCAGCGTGCTGCATCAAAGATACTGCACAGTGTTCCGGAAAACTAATTCCAGGAATGTTATCGGCAGTGGCACAGTCATCTAGAAAAGTGCATTGCCTCACAAGGGGACTACTATGAAGGTGACAACAGCTGCTAGTGAGTAGGTAAGAAAACATTTTTTTCAGTCTATTCTGGGAATTAAATTGTCACATCTGTACACTGGTACACAGGGGATTCAGCAAACATTCAGCTCTGGGAAAAAGTCCCTTGCAAAGTGAACTGTCTATTTGGCTTTAGCAAATCAAAAGAGTACACCAAAGAAATAATGGGATTAGTATGCACAACCCCAGTTAACACATGAAAGCAGAAACACTAATAAAATAGGAACAGTAAATTAGAAATATTTTACAGATTATACAGTTATTATGTGAAGTGAACTTCAACCATTTAAATACAACATGGGCAGTAAGAGGGTGGAGAGAAGGCTTGTTGCCTTATCAGCAACCTCTGGGCCAGTGTTTCAAAGGGTATGCCAAAAATCGTATATAAATGTATACGCCTGCATAACTATATGCTGGTAGCCTTGTCTGAATAACAATGACCTTAGAAAGGAAGAAGTCCCCTTATCTAGCAACTGCAGCTTGAGTCCTGTGATGCTAAAAATTCCTAATATGGTGGTCTTCTGCTAGCAATGGTGGGGACCTTAAACAATATTGAATACTGCTAATTTGATGAAGTTAAACAGGCTGTGGTACTGCTCAAAGCAAAGTTCTTCTGGTGACTGAGGTGTAAAAGTGTCTGCATGCACTGTCTCTAGAGTGATGACAGAAAGAGATTGGGCATCCAACAATCCTATAGATAGCACGGCCTCCTAGGAGCAAGAGTTCTCGATCAGGCTCTCGACTGTCTGCAGAGATGTGTAGAGTGACAGCCTGTCAGCATAGTTATCAGTGACAGTGGCAGTCCTAGTGTGGAGAAAGACTGATGCAAGCCCAGATGGCAATCGGCATCACAGAAATACAGATCTGCTGCCCAAAGTCCTGCAGCCACAGGTCCGCAATCTTTGTCTTGAGGAGAACAGCAGTCTGCCAGTATCCAGCTCTGAATCTCACGCCAATAAAGCAGGCCAGTCCCTTTGCAGGAGAATTGGCTGCACTCTGCTAACAGGAAGTGATGTATCTGTCCCAGTACTGGGCACTAGGGGGAAAAGGAGTAATCCTAATCCCATCTGCAAGTGTGCTTCAACTGCATAGCTGGCCATTGACTACATATACTGGGGTTAGAGAAAAAAATGGTAACACTACATGATTTGCAGATGTGAAAGTGACAATATGTTTTGTGTTGAAAGCAGAAGTGATGTAATATTCTTTTGCTTCCACTGTGTGATGAGACACCTAGCTGACATTTGGGAAGCCTCACTTTCCTCATTCACTATAGTAATACGGAGTTATGTCAGAACTTACTGAGCTGCTAAGACGGCAAATTGTTGGTGCTGCTTAGCTGGTGCCTCTGTGACTGAAGTTGCCAATTTATTTGCCGTGTCGCGAGGTACAGTATCAAAGGTTATGACGGCATATACAGTTTCCGGGAAAATGTCGTTTGATAAGCAAAGGCATGGTCGACATGATCACCTGACCGACAGAGACAAAAGGACATTGCGCTGGATTGTGACCCCGAATAAGAAAGTGGAAGCAAATGAATGTTACATCACTTCCACTTTCAATGTGAAACATGTCACTTTCACACCTGCAAATCATATAGTGTTTCCATTTTTTATCTAACCCTTTCATATATATTTATATCTATACTGTATATTATTGTATATTATGTATACCATTCCACCCTATTAATCTTTGCTTGGGATTGCCACAGTCAGATGCAGCATATAAAATGAGGAACACTCTTTCTCGTAGGCACCACAACCTGCAACAATGATGCAAGTACAGGCCAAGTGAACTAGAGCAGACTAGCAGCTCTCCACTCTAAAAATAAAAAACTTCCTTTGTTGCAACACTCATCTTCAATCTGAGGCTGACCCATACAGAAGGCCTGCTGCTCTACAGATGGTGCTCTTCGTCTGGGATCAATGACATTAGTCTATACCAGGAATATTGAATTAAAATTCAAGGAGGTCCGGTCACTACAATTTTCTTCTGGCCGAGGTCCGAACAGGGTGTGCCCATCAGTGTGCCCCCTTACATTAGGTGTCACCACCAGAATGCAACTTTGCATCATGTATTCTCATCACATCAGGTGTGCCCATCAAAGTGCTCCTTTACATCAGTTGTCCCCATCAGAGTGCCCCTTTACATCAGGTACCCCATCACATTGCCACCTTACATCAGGTATTCCCATCAGAGTGCCCCCTTACACTCAAAGTACCCTTTTCTATCATATTTCCCCATCAAAGTGTCCTTTTACATTATATTCCCCAACAGAGTGCTCCTTTCCATCACGTGCCCATCAGAGTGCCCCTTTCCACAGTATGTGCCCATTTGTGCCCCTTAACATAAAATGGGCCCATTAGAGTGCCCCTTAACATAAAATGTGCCCATCAGACTGCCCCTTAACATAAAATAAGTGGAATGCTGATGGGCACATTTATATTAAGGGGCACTCCGATGGGCACATTTTATGTTAGGGACACTCTGATTAGCACATTTATATTAAGGGGCACTATAATGGGCACTTTTATGTTAAGGGGCACTCTGATGAGCACATTTTATATTAAGGGGCACTCTGATGGTCACATTTATATTAAGGGGCACTCTGATGGGCACATTTATGTTAAGGGGCACTCTGATGGGCACATTTATTTTAAGGGGAACTCTGATGGGCACATTTATTTTAAGGGGAACTCTGATGGGCACATTTATTTTAAGGGGAACTCTGATGGACACATTTATGTTAAGGGGCACTCTGATGAGCACATTGTATGTTAAAGGGTACTCTGATGAGCACATTTATGTTAAGGGACACTCTGATGAGCACATTTTATATTAAGGGGCACTCTGATGGTCACATTTATATTAAGGGGCACTCTGATGATCACATTTATATTAAGGGGCACTCTGATGGGCACATTTATGTTAAGGGGCACTCTGATGGGCACATTTATTTTAAGGGGAACTCTGATGGGCACATTTATTTTAAGGGGAACTCTGATGGACACATTTATTTTAAGGGGAACTCTGATGGGCACATTTATATTAAGGGGCACTCTGATGGGTACATTTTATGTTAAGGGGCACTCTGATGGGCGCATTCTATGTTGTGCCCATCAGAGTTCCCCTTAACATTCAATGTGCCCATCAGAGTGCCCCTGTAAGACTACACCCTACATTGAGGGCAGACAGGAGCTGTGTTGGGATCCTTGTTGGATGCTTGTGTACATCAGGCGGGTAGTGGGAGACTGAAAAACAGTGAGTTGAAAGGTGCGGGGCGCACATGTGATGTCATGTTGCCGTGATGACCACCATGCTGAGCAGTGGATCTGTCATTGTGGGCCGCAGGGCCGGGTGGCAGTGCTGCTGGGGCCGTTCACAGCCCGCGGTCTGCCATTTAGTGACTGCTGGTCTATACGTATATTCATCTTTCAAGTTCCAGTAGTGTCTGAAGTTGCCCCATGGTGGCACGATCCCTAAAAGACTGAGCGCGTCCCCACTGTTCAATCGTGCTTGAGCAATGAAGAGTTACAAGGAGCGATAAGGAAATGCTAGTGAAGAAAAATGCAAGGTGAAAATTCATTAAAAAACATTTTTTAAAGTGTATGTACTTCTCTACAATGAATGCACACTTGGCCTGAAGATTAGGTAAAACCCTCAAACAGTATAATGTATATTTTCTGAAGGCAAAGACTCTGGAAAATAAAATGGTGGTGCTTGCAATTTTTTATGTCACATGGCATTGGCTTGACAACTGTTTATCAAACCCTTATTTTTGGTAAAACATATACTAAAATTACTTTTTGTGCACAAAAACACAATGCAATAAAGCTGCTGTGCCACATTTCTGGCATTAATTCCTTTTGTTAATGTATTGCACCAAACTCATGAAGCATTTGCAACACTTTTCGGCCTGACAGTGAATCGTGTACCAAATTCAATTCTAAAATGTGCCGTTTTTTTCATTGTGTTGCATTGGATGTGCCAAATGTAAAAGTGGAGCTAATTATAACCAACCCTTTTGGCTCGGACAGATTTTTGTGAAAGTGTCTCGAGTGCATTCTAAAAGTGGGGCAGCATGAGCCAAATTCAAGTACAAGTTCTAGACAGGTAGATGGATTTGGTGCATTCTTCACTACTTTTAGGATGCATGAGAGATACTTTTGCAAAATCTGCCTGCTCCAGTCTATGAATTCCAGAGAATACAGCATGATACCTATTTGCTAAAATACAAAAGGTGAGGCTGTGTCGAATAAATAGATACCAAACATGTCAAGCCTTAAAATTGCATGTGCCAGTGAAATAGCACAAAGGAAGCCCACCAGTAGACGGATGATCCTCTTGTATGTACAGTTGTGTTCAAAATAATAGCAGGGTGTTGAAAAAAGTGAATAAAGCTCAAAATCCTTCTAATAGCTTTTATTTCCATACACACAAATGCATTGGGAACACTACACATTCTATTCCAAATCAAAACATGAAGAAAAATATATCAAATTTGTGTTGTTCCTCTAAAGAAATTGGTTTTGCCTCAGAAACTGCATTTTTGATGTCACCCCACAAGTTTTCTATTGGATTAAGATCCGGGGATTGGGCTGGCCACTCCATAACGTCAATCTTGTTGGTCTGGAACCAAGATGTTGCACGTTTACTGGTGTGTTTGGGGTCGTTGTCTTGTTGGAACACCCATTTCAAGGGCATTTCCTCTTCAGCATAAGGCAGCATGACCTCTTCAAGTATTCTGATGTATTCAAACTGATCCATGATCCCCGGTATGCGATAAATAGGCCCAACACTGTAGTATGAGAAACATCCCCATATCATGATGCTTGCACAACCATGCTTCACTGTCTTCACAGTGTACTGTGGCTTCAATTCAGTGTTTGGGGTCGTCGTCTGACAAACTGTCTCCGGCCACTAGACCCAAAAAGAACAATCTTACCTTCATCAGTCCACAAAATGTTGCGCCATTTCCCTTTAGGCCAGTCAATGTGCTCTTTGGCAAATTGTAACCTCTTCAGCACATCTTTTTTTTCAACAGTGGACTTTGCGGGGGCTTCTTGCAGATAGCTTGGCTTCACATAGGCGTCTTCTAATTGGAACAGTACTCACAGAGAACTTTACACCTTCTTTGATCTTCCTGGAGCTGATTGTTGGCTGAGTCCTTGCCATTTTGGCTATTCTTCTATACATTCGAATGGTAGTTTTTTGCTTTCTTCCACGTCTTTCAGGTTTTGGTTGCCATTTTAAAGCATTTGCGATCATTTTAGCTGAGCAGCCTATCATTTCTGCACTTCTTTATATGTTTTTTCCCCTCTCCAATCACCTTTTTAATCAAGGTACGCTGTTCTTCTGAACAATGTCTGGAACGACCCATTTTCCTCAGAATTTCAGAGAGAAATGCACTGTAACCAGCATATACAACATTTGCTGCCTTCCTTCCTTAAATAAGGGCAATAATTGCCACCTGTTTTTCAAAGAATGAATGACCTCACTAATAGAACTCCACACTGCTATTATTTTGAACATGCCCCTTTCAATTAGTGATTCAATTACACAGAATCAGCAGCATGCATGTCATGACTGTTGGGTCTGTTGGATTTCTATTACTCTACTACGCCTGCTAGTAAATTATTTGCCATGTAGAAATATTATTTCTACCAAAAACAGCGATTTATCAGGTTAGTGATATCTAACTGCTAGTATTTTGAACACAACTGTATGTGTGCATGACATGTTCTCATGGAACCATGCAAGTAAAGAGGTGAAATTACATTTTAAATAATTTTTCTGGGGAAATTGCGCAATTATAACCGAAAATATGTACTTGTTACAATTACTGAAAGAAGTCCAGGCGTCTGCTATAAAAAAAACTCTGACTCCAATTATGTATTCAGAAATAGTTAGTTTACTTTTTTAAGGCAAGTAATGAAAGGACTGGGCACTTGCCTTGATTTTGGTTTTCTGTAATCCTCTGCACATCAGCACTGTGGGAAGTGACAGTTCTGTAGGTCTGGACATGCATACAGGAGGGGAACCTCCTTAATGTGCTACTACTTCTTTACTGTCCAATCACAGGCTGGGGTGGGCCATGAACTAGGCTGCACTGCTTAACTTCAATAGGATAATGTGAGGTCACAGATCTGGCTATACGGTTTGGCACAGGTGTGGAAATCACAACAGTGCCGGAACAGAACTCAGTTGGCAAGTAAACGGTTCACCAGAAAGGGTGTCTTCACATTGCCGTGTTGCCACAAATGCCACAATGCTTCCCTTGGAAGTGTAGAAATTTTAACTAGGCATGTAGGGTATGACAGGCGAAACAGCCTGTCAAATGTAACTATTGATTGAAAGGGATTGTGCCGCAACTGGGTGCTAAACACAGATATGGCATTTACAGTTTGGAAGGTTAATGTAAAATTCCCACTGGGGTAAAAAAAAAAAAAACCCTCTGGAGATTAAAAAAACAGACACAGAGGATCGCCTCCTGAGTGCCTGTAAACTGATTGGTATGAAAAGCGATCCACCGCGGATTGTTTTCAGAGGGTAATAAAGTTTTCTGTCCATGTGAAAAGATAAATAAATATATATATACATATATATTTATATGAGATACACATACAGAGATGGTTGGACAAAACTATGGAAACACTGCATGATTTGCAGGTGTGAAAGTGACAACATGTTTCATTTTGAAAGCAATAGTGATGTAACATTTTATTTGCTTCTGCTGTGTGATGAGACACCTAGCTAACAGATGGGAAGCCTCACTTTCATCATTTACTGCATGCGCTGCTAGTAATACGGAGTCATCTCAGAGCTTACTGAGCTTCAAAGAGGGCAAATTGTTGGTACCGCTTAGCTGGTGCCTTTGTGACTGAAGTTGCCAGTTTATTTGCCTTGTCACGAGGTACAGTATCAACGGGTATGACGGCATATACAGTTTCTGGGAAAACTTTGATAAGCGCCGTCGACATGGTCAGTTGACCAAAAGAGACAAAAGGACATTGCCCAGGACTGTGATTTGGAATAAGAAAACAACTGCTGCAAAAGTGACTTCAGAGCTCAAACTCAGTTATCCAAAAATCCAAAATCTTCCAAAATGTGCAGAGGGAGCTCCATAAGCAAAACCTTCACAAGTGAACTGCAATTGCCAAACCACTAGTGACCAATATTAATGCTCAGAAGAGGAAAGAGTGGTGCAACACCCATAAATCAATGGAAGACTGTAATATGGTCCAATGAATCGAGCTTCACACTGTTCCCAACCACTGGACATGTCTACATGTGGCAAACACCATCCCAAGTTTATGATCAGGACTCTGTTGTTCCAATGGTAAAGCATGGTGGTGGCGCAATAATGGCTTGGGCAGCCAT